CAAAATGGAGTGGTGATGAAAGTACAGATGCCAAAATAGGGAGTAAACAGTCTCAGAGGGCCTTGACCAGTGCGGCTTAGTTGGTTGGAATTTGTCCTGTGCACTGAAAGATTGCTGGTTCGATTCCTGGTCAGGGCACATGCCTAGGCTGTGTGCTTGATCCCCGGTGGGGAGTATGTAGGAGGCAGCAGATCGATGTTTCACTCTTTCACTCTCACATATCTCTCTCTCCCTTTCCCCCTCTCCCTCTCCCTCTCCCATAGTGAAGACAATAATATCAACTGGCAGGTGTAGATTAAATGACAGAATAAAGGTGGAATTCTTGAAGATGTGCCAGTATGGCCCAATAAATGCCCAATTAGAGCTAAGCAATATTACAATTAAAATTCCATTTACCCCAGTGTGAAATATGGTAATGTACAAAGCGAGGTATAACATGTATATGCAGGTACAAAGAGGATAAGACGCAGTGAATTTTTAAGGCATTTTCTGGTCCCAACAGGCTGTGATTTGGTCATTAACTGCTGAGTAGCCTCGCAGGGTCAGCACTCAGGGACCCACCCACTCACCCAACAGAGATATATTGAGTATCCAGGATGCACCAGGCCCACTAGTAAGCACTGGCCAGTAAACTTAATGGTGAGGTTCAGGTCCAGAGACAGGGATGACCTGTCATTAACTGGTGATTAATAGCTGGTTCCATCTTTTCCTTTAAGCTATTGGCTCAGTGTTCACTTCTCTCTCTAGTCCTTTGGCTAAGCTCCTTCAGGCGTCTTTCCTCTGGGGCATCATTGCACATGGCTATGTCTGCTCCAGCAAAGCTGCCCACTCTTTGGACTTTATAGCCCCTTCCTGGGAGTTCATAACAAGAATTGCTTCAGCTGTGGACTTGTAGCTCAGGACCGACCCAGGAGAGGGCTGCTAGACGCCGCAACTTCTGCCTGTATTTCTGATTCATTATCCACGTCAGACAATCTGCTGTGAGAATGATGACAAATGTGTGGTGTTCTGCCGAGGGAATCGTGTCCTCTAAGATTAACCCATGCTGACAGCCTGCTTGGCTGCTGCTCGGAGTCCCATCACCCATCCTGCCTTCTTCAGTAGTCCAGAACAAACCTTAAAGCCTACATAGTGTTTGGCAAAGGAAAATAGGAAACCTCATATCCATTTAGACATGCAAATAATAGATGTATTCATTTCAGACAGAGAGGCCAGGACAAGGTGGGCTGCTGCTATGGGAGCTGAGAGGCATTGGAGAGAGGAACACTACTAGTATACAAACATGTAGGTGACTCCAGAGAATTTTCAAGCTAGTAATCCAGGCGGGACTGAGATGGGCTAAAGAAGAGATCATTCCTGGACACTCGGAAGTTGTGTGACTGTCATCACAGGCCTAGCCACCGGGCAAGGCTCTCTCCCAATTTGGGCTTCAGTTTCCCATTACTGAAATGAGTGAACTGGATTAGATGGTCTCAGAGGGCCCTTGTAGGACTTCCTTTTCCAGTTCATTGTTCAGAAGGTTCAGCCTTATGGTCCCTAGGATTGTGCTATGGGTACAAGATCATCTGCCTGGATGTCAAGTCCAAAGTTAATTCCCCTAACAGACATTCCTCTTCTTACTGTCCTCCACCCTAAATCACTAGGGTGGGTTTGAGATAAGAACCAAGTTGGTGTTTGCTCTTCCTCAGTCACTTTTGTTTTTTATTTGGAAAACGGTAGGTTACCTCTGATGCCAAACCCTAATTCCTGAGGAGCTAAACATTCATTAAGTACTTAGTGGAAAAGGTCTCCTTCCTGTGCCCCATGAGTTCTTCGGGGGAATTAAATGCCATTCCAAACCTTGGAATTAAATTTCATTTCTATGGCGATGGTAATTGCATCCTCAGTACCCCCATCTATTGAGGCAAATAATAATTATAGCAATGGCTGCCATTTTTATTGCTTCCTATTTTCCAGCCATTATATGGAGTACTTTACACAACACAGCTCATTCAGCCCTCATACCATCTGCTAGAAGTAGATTCTATTGCCCCATTTTATAGATGAGGAAACTGAGGTTTACAGGGTTAACAATCCCACCAAGATCACACTGGCAGAGCTGAGATTTAAACTTGTGTTTTCTAACTCCAGAGCCCAGGCGTTAAGAGTCATTCAGGACTATCAGTGCAAAGCACTTCAAGGGCACAGTCATAGCCTGACAGTCCACAGACACTTGTCCTCTACCCAGAACACAGGCCCACAGTGATGAGAGTCACTCCTAGCAGTTTGCTGGAAGAGCAGCTTCAAGTAAGAGAACAAGGGTGGCAGTTCCTGCAGCCTTTTTTTTCTCCAGTGGTTTGTGATAAGGGATGGGGTTCTTTCCATGGACACAGGCCATCCTACTGGCACCATGTATCATTATGATAAAGGTGATGATGTGGAGACTGGAACTGGCATGAAAGACTAGAATCCTGCTTATTTTTATAGTTGAAAGTGACATCACCCCAGTGCCTCTATCAAATGGCAAATTGGAAGCTGAACTGAAATTGCTTAAAAATGTATCCAGAGATGGTTTCCACAGCTGTGAGGAAGTCACTGGTTGTGTTTGGAGATGCATTTCTAGTGGAGATGCTTGCTGAGTCACCTGTGTGTCATCTCACTCGAAAGCTGCTGGTCAGCCCTGGAGGACTCCAAGGCTTTGGGTGCTGTTTCCAGGCACCTGTGATGCGCCCTGCACTGGGGGCGGGTGAGCGGATGGAACCACACTCCTTCCTTGTTCTTTGCGATGTATTGCGAGTGTCTTTTCACATCAGGAAGTGATGTTTTACAACATTTTAATGGTCACATCGCCTTCCCGGTCCATCTGGTGGGTTGAACCTGGGCTTTTGGAGCAGTCTTCTGCCCCCACCAGTGAGTTGGAACAAATGGAAATGCTGGCTGCCTGACCAGCCCTTTTAGTTATTTGTCCTTTATCCAGGGACTTGGGGGAGAGAGCCATGGATATGGGAGCTTGCATTTACTTATCTCCTCTGTTTTCCATCCTCAGGCAAAAGAAGGGGAACGTGGCCCACAAACACTGGGCGGGACCTTCGAATCTGGTCAAGTGCAAGCCCTGCCCCGTGGCACAGTCGGCCATGGTCTGCGGCTCCGATGGCCACACCTACACGTCCAAGGTCAGTCACCTTTGTCTCTTTTGTTGTGAGAAATACTCCATGTCTACTGGTCCTGACAGGTCTCCGCACCCAGACTGGCCCTGCTGTGTGAAGCTCCGTGCAATGTGGGGTCCTGTCCTTTAGAGGCTGCCACATGAACAGACTGTCAAAGAGACAAGTGAGATAGAAATGTTACCTCCTTTGTCCTGGCAGGGGCTGTAGGTGGGGGTGTGTCAAGGGCCAAGGGGAGGGGAATTCTGAGAGTGGATGTGATCCTGAGGTTAATCCAGGGGAGCTTCCTGGAGAAGGTGAGAGAACAAGCTGTGCCAAAGATGCAAGTCATGCAGCTTGGCTGATGAGAGCAAAGGCATAAGGGCAGCCCGGGATGCTGCCCAAAGGACAGCATGGTGACGGGAGGAGTGTGACGGTGACGGGAGGGCTCTGACATCAGCACACACTTCTGCTGCGTCTCTTGCACATCTAGATGGCATCCAGCCCTGCACCAGGCCCTGGGGCTCTGGCCATTGTTCCTTTCTCAGAACCTCAGGGACTTGCAGTCTAATGGCAAGTGTGGTGATAGGTCATTGTCACTCAGACCTATGGAAACAAAGGTGGTTTCATAGAAAAGGGAACTGGGGATCCACTGGGTCTATCTGTTTTTCTGGGAAGGACGGGGAAAGTCTCACAGACGAGGGGCATTTCATTTGGGCTCCAGCAATAGGCCCTCTGAGCAGCGGGGAAAGGGGTGTTATCAGGAGAAAGGAGGAAGGAAACGAAACTTCCTTCTCAGACTTCAGACTCTCTCCTTGGGGTAAAGTGGTCCGTTTGTGTGGGAAATGGGTAGTCTCACTGGGATAGTGAGTTAAAGAAAAGGAAACCACAGAATGGACATGAGTTTGCTTATTTGTTCTGGTATTCAACCAACATAAGTCAGCACTGCCTTAGTGCCCAACACCGAACGAGGCAGCAGGCGTTGGTGTGTGGCTGTCTCTAGCCCCAGCCTAACCACTGTTCTCTCTCCTCCTGTTTTCCTGTGTGAGGCTCCCTTGAACAATGGAGTCTAGGGCTAGGGAGAGTTGCTACAGGAGACACCCTGGTCACTTACGGCCACACCACCATGAGGTTCTTGGGCTCAGGGATGCAGGCCATTCTGCAGGCCTTCTGTCCTGACCCACCGCACAACAGCTGACAGCATCTTTCTCTGTGACCCCATCCCCATCCCAACCCTGGTGCACCCTCCTGCCTGCTGCCCTCACAGGCTTATTTGGGTTATTTCCAGGCTGAGCCATGCTTTCCTATTGATTTTGTATTGCACAGGTCAATATTTTCATACATTTAACAAAGCAGGCATCTTTTGAAGGGATGAATCCTTGTACCCACCCGTGTAATCTGCTTTAGGAACCCCCCCACACACACACACACACATACACCTTCCCCCACTCTCCCTGACCCCTGAGAGAATCAAAATTTGAAATGGGGCTTGCTTCTGACCACGTGACCTCTTCTGGAATAGTTGACTTACAAGGGGCATTGACGGGATTTACGGGGGCATTGAAGCATCAGTTCTGTCCACCACTCCAAAGACAGCTCAGGCCACCATCGTCTCTCACCTGCAGACCAGCTCCCAGGTGTGCACAGCCTCCGGGGGCCGCTGCTGAGGTGCAGTGACGATGTGGTGGGGCTGGCATGCAGCCTGAGAGCCTGCATTTCTAACAGACTCCAGGCGATGTCCAAGCTGCCGATCCAGGAACTATCCTGGGTAAGGAGGACTTCGGTTTTCACAGGTGCCTCCTAATAAATCTGTTTGTCTCTAGTTTGCCCTTCCCCTACCCCCAAAGTCCATTTCCACATGATTGAAGGGGCTGTGAAATTCTGTAATAAATGTCTGTCATGTGTCTCCCCGGCTTAAAATGCTTGGATGGCTTTCCTCTTGCTGCTAGACCTAAGCAAACCCTTTGTGGTTACTAACAAAGCCCTCGAGCCTGTGGCCTGTCTATTCCATACTCACTTACCATAGAAAAGCCCTTCCTTCATTTGTTTAGTAGTGAGCACTTAGAATTGTCCTGGGCACTGTGCAGACCATGGCGAGGAGCGGTGGGAAACAGGCACCGTCGCAGGTTATAGTCTGGTAGAGGAGACACAAAATATAAGTCAGCAAACAAGCAAATGTGTAATTTCAAATTTTGGTTAGAACTGAAAAGGAAATGAGCATGGTGCTGAGAGTGAGAGCAAGAGAGGCCTGCGTTATAGGGGATGGCAAGGGAAGGCCTCTCTGAGGGGGTGTCCTTAAAACTAGGGTGAGAGGGGTTAGAATGTTCCAGATAGAGAAATAGCATAACTCAAAGCTCTCAGGTTTATGCTCTCAGATGATGTGCTTGAAGAGCTGAGAGGATGCCCGCATGACTAACGGTGAGAGGCACATGAGGTGAGGGTGGACAGGGAAGAGACATTTAGCCAAAGCTAAAAGGTGAGCAGACAGTTGAGTAATGCCAGGCTCCTGGAACACTTGTTACTGTAAGTGCCTTCTTGTCCATGTCTGCCTTAAGAACACGAGATCCTAGAGGGAGACACCATGTCAATTACCACCTTATCCAGACACAGGACACGACACATAGTGGGTGCTTCACAAGACACAGCACACAGTGGGTGCTTAATAAGATCATGGACAAGACTGGACCACCAGGGACACTAGTTGAGAAGGAAAAGAGAGATTCTGGTCTGTGCAACCCATCAGGGATTTGAGTGAATGGGCTGATGAGAGCTTAGCGATTGAGAAAAATAAGCCATCCCCACCAAGGGGCCAAGTTGCTTAGCTAAACAGCCAGCCTGGGGTTCGGGCAGAGAGTCAGAGGCTCCTTGCAGTGGTTCTCGCTGTGAAGATCCAGCATGTGCTGCTCAAATTATTCCCTCCAGCTCTGGAGTAAACTGTCTGATCCTCGAGCCTGTGACTGGGGACGAGCCATGAAATGTCAGTGAGTGATGAGGGCTGTTTGGGCAAGCGGCATGTCGCGCATCAGGCCCCAGCAAAATCCTGCCCGCTCGCTTGTCCCTCGTTCGCAGAAGGAGCTTAGAATGCCAGCGCCCCATGGCCCCTGAGCTACAAGGAGCAGTGGTGACCCATCGACTTGGCTTCAAATGTTGTCAGTTGCCCAGGGAATGTCTTTGGAAAGGCTCGCTGGTCAGGGCCCCCTGCAGTCTGGGCTGGAAAGTGGGCTTTTTGTATTAGAGAGGCTGCCTGTGTACAGATACTGTTAAATGGCTTGTGTAAGAGGCAGGTCAGGATGTGGAAGAGTCCTTTGCAGTGACTCCTGAATCTTCAGAAGAGGAGTAGCTTCCAGACACCACTGGGCAGAGCCCTCGAAGGCCCTCCCTGCATAGCCTGCTGTTCCTCTAGTGTCCTGAATTCCTATGCCAGCCTGAGTCCTCACATTCCAAGACCTGCTCACCGTCTGTTCCTGGAGCAAAAGAAGAGACCTAAAGCCCTCTCACCAGAAACTGCAGTGTTCTTCTCCCCATTCTCCATACGAGTACACTGAGGACCCAAGAGCCAAAGACAGTGGCAGGGTTTGTCACCCATATCTCCTGCATAGATCTCACTTCTGTTTGAAGTTAAACAGCCGGGGAGAGTGGTGGAGGGAAGGCATTACAGTGGGAAATGCTGTAGGTGTTGGGTTTTGGCATTAGTCTCCTAGTTTCTGTCTTTTATGAACTTCTAGAAGGTTGGCATTCTCTTTTACCTAAAGTAATGAATCAAATGCGACTTGATCAAAAGGCATCCACTGACGGCTAAAGACCTCGGAAACCTGGGACAGTTCTAACTCCCATGGCACTCAATGTGGCTTCCTTCCAAGGGGGAGTGTTTCTGTCTGGTTGGGTTTCTCATTGGGTGATTTCGTTGTTGCCCCTAAGTCCATGACCACTTAGTTATGGAAGTTTAAGGGGACATTTTAATCTCACAGACAAAGCTTTTGAGGACCACCAGTCAGTGGTCAGTTAAGAGAGTAAATGAGTTAACTATCACTGAACAAACACCTTTCCATCCGCAGCAGTCAGGGCCTTTTCTGTGTCAGTGGGGTCAGGAGGCAAAGGACAGATGAGACCATGATGCATGGCGATTGGATATTATGTCAAATTCACAAGAGTTAGTGTTGGCAGAAGTATATTGCAGCCCAGTCCCATCAGCAAGGACCTGGCGCCTGTAATAAATGATCACAGTTCCCGGATGGCGTGTTTGCCCTTTCACGGATGGTCCAGAGGCCGCGGGAGCACCATCAGGAGCAGGAGGGAGCCTGAGCCCCAGCTCTGTCCTTGATGCCACTGTTTGTCTTTGGGTCTCATCAAACTAGCTTTCCTTCTGCTCCTAGAACTGCGGGATGCGTTTAGGACCCTCTGTCGGTGCCAGGGTTCTTCCAGGGTCGGCACCGGCCACACTCAGAGCCTGGTGACTCCCCCAGGACGAGAGGTAAAGTGGATCAGAACGCACAGTCCTGAGATGAAGGAGTATAAGATGTTACATGGCAATAAATGTTTATTGAGACTCTATAAAGTATAACCCATAAAAGATAAGGAACAGAAACCCCCGCTGGGAATAGAGAAGTGGGAGGCCGGTGTCGTAGCCGCCTGAGAATGTGACAGAGATGCTGCCCCTTGACGTTGATTCCAGGCAGTAAAGATCACTCTAGTCATTTCACTGCCCCTGATGCCACATTCTCCTGCCAGGAAAAATGAAGTAGGTAGTCCAGACGCTCAGCACATGGTGGTTGAGTCTGCCTTACTCTGCATCATGCATTGTACTGAGTACTGAGGAGGTGACAAGGGACAAAAGAGAGAAAGTCCCCATTTTCATGGAACTTACAGGGAAGGTGGACAAGTTGAAAGGCAATCTCTTTTCATTAGAATAGGGGCACTTGGGTGCTGCAGGACACAGAGCAGGGCCCCCTCAACTCCGTGGTGGTGTGAGTGGTCTTAGAGGAAGTGATGATTCAACTGAGATCTTAAGGCTGGAAGGAGTCAACCAGAGT